CAACCTCGCTTTCAGTTCCCTCAAGGAAAATCATGGAGAGCCAAGAAAGTACTAAAGTTGATCCATTCTGATATTTGTGGCCCTATCACTCCAACTTCCAAGGTGGTAACCATTATTTTATTACTTTCACCGATGATTATTCTAGGAAAACTTGGGTTTATATTTTGCAGGAAAAATCAGAAGTTTTTGGGATATTCAAAAGTTTCAAGGCACAAGTGAGAAAGAGACAAGGAGAGCCATAAAAACTCTAAGGACTGACCGAGGTGGAGAATATTGCTCCAAGGAGTTCGATGCCTTCTATGACAACCAAGGCATTCGAAGGGAGCTTACTGCAGCCTATTCACCTCAACAGAATGGAGTCTCTGAGAGGAAGAATAGAACCATTCTCAACATGGTTCGTAGCATGATCACCAAAGGAAGGATCCCGAAAACCTTCTGGCCTAAAGCAATTAATTGGAGTGTTCATTTGCTGAATAGGAGCCCTACTTTTTCTGTCCTCAACATGACACCAAAACAAGCATGGAGTGGGAGAAAGCCATCTGTTGACCACTTCAAAATCTTTGGGTGCATCACATATGCACATGTTCCTGATCAGAAAAGGAAGAAATTGGATGACAGAAGTGAAAAGTGTGTCTTCTTGGAGATAAGTGAAGTTTCTAAGGCTTACAAGCTTTACAATCCAGTCACTAAAAAGATTGTAATCAGCAGGGACGTTGTTTTTGATGAAGGAAACACTTGGAATTGGAATGATGATGTTTCTAGGCAGCAGCCTATGCAGGTCAGTTTTGATAATAAAGACACAGGCCCATCATCTCCTCAACAAATTCAAACCTCTAGCAAACACACCATTCAAATTGACCCTACAAAAGAGCCTTAACAACATCCTAGAAAGAAACCTAACTGGATGCAAGACTATGTAACAGGTGAGGGATTATCTAATGATGATATTGCTCACTTTGCCTTATTTGTAGATTGTGATCCTATTAGATTTGAAGAAGCTACTAAGGATCCAAAATGGCAAAAAGCAATGGATGAAGAGATCAGGGCCATTGAAAAGAATAACACTTGGAGCTTGGTAAACCTTCCAGCAGGACAAAAAGCCATCGGAGTCAAATGGGTTTACAAAACCAAACTAAATACGGATGGCAACATCAACAAGCACAAGGCCCGACTTGTTGTAAAAGGGTACAAGCAGGAAAATGGAGTTGACTATAAGGAGGTGTTTGCTCCAATTGCTCGCCTTGACACCATCCGACTGGTATTATCCATGGCTGCATAGAAGTCATAGCCTATCTATCAGCTGGATGTAAAATCAGTCTGCCTGCATGGAGACTTACAAGAAGAGGTATATGTTAATCAACCTCTGGATATGCCAAGCATGGCAATGAGCATAAAGTCTACAAACTCAGAAAAGCTCTATATGGCTTAAAACAAACCCCACAGGCTTGGTACAATCGTATTGAAACTTATTTTATCCAAGTAGGTTTCTAGAAGTACCCTTATAAAACATACTCTCTTCACAAAGACTCATGCCAATGGAAGTATACTTATGATATGTTTGTACGTGGATGACCTCATCTACACTGGGAATGACAAAGGTATGCTTGTTGAATTCAAAGAGAATATGATGTCAGAATTTGAAATGTCAGACCTAGATTTGATGCATTACTTCCTTGGCATTGAGGTCTCTCAGTCATCACTTGAAATCTTTGTTTCACAAAGAAAATATGTTCTTGAGATTTTGGATAGATTCCAGATGAAGGATTGCAATCCTGTTAGCACACCCACCGAATATGGTCTCAAGCTCAAAAGAGATGATGAAGGGAAGAAGGTGAATCCCACACTCTACAAATAGATGATTGGATGCTTGATGTACTTAACTGCAACAAGACCGGACATTATGTATAGTGTCAGTTTAATAAGCCGATATATGGAAAATCCAACTGAAAATCATCTTTCAACTGTCAAAAGGATTCTGCGATACTTGAAAGGTACAGTTGACTTTGGAATCCTTTATCAGAAAGGAGATAATGAAGATTTGCTTCTTAGCTTTACAGATAGTGATTATGCTGGATATATGATGACAGAAAGAGTACATCAGGTTTTGTATTTATGATGAGTTCTAGAGCAATCTCTTGGTTATCAAAAAACAATAGATAGTTACTTTATCTTCTACAGAAGCTAAGTACGTTACTGCAACAACATGTTCCTGTCAAGCTATCTGGTTAAGGAAGTTGATGAAAACGCTTCAAAGCAAGCAGGTGGGACCAACTATTATCTTTTGTGATAATGCTTCAGCAATCAAGATTTCCAAGAATCCACTGTTACACGGGAGAAGCAAACACATAGATGTTCGTTATCATTTTCTGCAGGACCAATGTAATAATGATGTGATCAACCTTGAGTTTTGTCCAAGTGGTGAACAAGTTGCAGATATTATGACCAAACCCCTCAAACAAGATGTGTTTGTGAAGCTTCGATCAGGGTCGGGATGATTTCAGTTAAGGACATCTCTCTAAACTGATTTCCGTAGTTATTAGTTTAAGGGAGGATGTTAAAGATAATTCCTTGTAATTATCTTAGATTAGGATTTAATTTTTATGTAATTATCTTTAGAGGTATTAGAGTTTTACTAGGATTATAATTCGTATTAGAACTAGGATTAGTTTTCTTATAAATAGGACCCTTTGTAAATCATTCAAGGCATGGAATAAAGTTTGAGTGTTTGTTTTCCATCAAACTATATAAGTATTCATTTATTTTATTGTTTGTTTAACATTACATTTAAAATGTGATTATCAATTTATTTATTTATTTATGTTTTGTTTAACAATGTGATATGTGATTAGTCGTGATGTAAATCAAATGGTAATTATAGAAGGATTCTGTTTTAAAATATAATTATTGGAAATGTTCAATATTTAATGCAGCAAAAGAACTTATTCAAGAGAAGCAAGTGAAAGCGATTATTTGCATGGAGGAATGGCCAGAAACAGTGTTAGTAGCCGAGATTGGCCAACAAGCTCGAGTCCCGATTCTTTCACTTGCAGCGTCTGCCATTGCACCATTACAACGTCCTTTTATGGTGCAGATGGCTGACAACTTCACTGAACAAATGAGATGCATTGCAGCTATTACTGGCTTCTTCCAGTGGAAACGAGTCATTGCAATCTATGAAACTGATAGATTTGGCAGTGACTCTGGTATGTTGGCTATACTTTCCGAACACCTTCAACGTGCAAACTCAGCTGAGATTGACCATCGTGTGATTATTCCACCATTCTCTTCTCTTCATGATCCAGAGAGATTTATTCAGGATGAATTAGCAAAGTTAATGACCGTTAACTCTAGGGTTTTCATCATTCTTCAATCATCTTTGCCGTTAGCTAGACTTGTATTCAAAGAGGCAAAGCAGATGGGACTCATGAGCAAAGATTCTGCATGGATAGTTACAGACATTGTCGCAAGTCTACTTGATTATCTTGATACTCCTATGATTTCTTCCATGGAAGGCGTTTTAGGGATCAAGACCTTTTTCTCTGATAATGAAAGGTCTTATTTGAGCTTCAAGCAACAGTTCAAACAAACATTTCACTCTGATTATCCTATGGAAGATAATTCTAATCCGGGAATCCATGCACTGAGGGCTTTTGATAGCATTACTGTCATTTCAAAATCCTTGGAGAAATTGGGTGTAAGGGGTATTACAAGCTCCTCATCCCTCTTTCTTAGTGAGATGTTATCAAGCAATTACACTGGCTTAAGTGGCATTATTAGCTTCAGGGGAGGAGAGCTAAAGCATTCTCCCCCATTTACCATAGTAAATGTTGTGGGAAAGAGCTATAAAGAAGTGGGCTTCTGGTTATCAAAAGTTGGCTTCTCAAATACCCTAAATGTAGAACAAAGAGGAGAGACAAATAGCAATTCTAATGGAGACAATGTTGGTAGCATGGAAACTCTTACAAATTTAGTAACTTGGTTAGGAAACCTAAAACGGCCACCAAAAGGATGGGTGATGCCTACTATTGCAAATAGGATGAAGATTGTGGTTCCAAGTAGGATTGCCGTAGACAAATTTGTGAAGGTGGAATCCATGAATAACTCAAATAAGAGGATCTACTCTGGCTTTTGCATCGATGTTTTCCAAGAGGTGTTAAAACTTGTGGAGCAAAAATATCCTTTTCCATATGAATTCTATCCCTACAATGAAAGCACATATGATGATCTGATCGACCTTATTATCAACAAGGTAATATTTCTAAGTTTGAAATCCCCCATCATGCCCTTTCTAAATGATCACATTATATCATTATGTATGCATGCTTAGATAAGTTCAAATGCTATTTGGGAATTGATGCAAGCCAATTCATTCACAAATTGCAAAGAAAAACACATCAACCTTAAGGATTGCACTTTTGGGTTGATATTAAGTCCACATGCCAAAGCGATATTGCCATACAAATCGTTGTTATGCGATTGATTAAGATATAATTCTCGTAAGCGATATTGCGAAACAACTTAGTGCCAACCATTATAAATATGGTTAACTAAATTTATCGCCCTATACTTGAGCTGATGTGAGAGTGAAAAATTATAAAGATTTTGGTTAAGCTTTATTTGAATCGGGTTTAATAAGCCATTACTCTAAAGCCGTGAAAGGAGTCCTATGAATGTTTTAGGTCTAAAGCACTACAGGTCCAATTTTGTGTTCAATTCAAGAGCCATCACCTAGCAGCTCTTACAAGCCTTCTATTATGTATGCCTACCTGACTATTTTGATGGTATGAAGCTAGGCTTGGTTCATATTTCTATGAGTTACAAGTTGTTCAATCTGACATATAGGACTAAGTATAACTTCTAGTTTTATAATGATTTGAATAAATATATGCAATTTTTAATAAGCAGTTATATAGATTATTTTATTAGAGAATTTCTCTAGTACTAAAATTATAGGTTCTGCCAATCATATCACATGCATATGAAAAGAAAGAATAATTACGATGCTGAATGTTATTTGTAAATGAGTAAGAAAATAATTTACTAAAAAATGCCTTTTAGATGCAATATGCGTGCATATATGTGCTGGGTATGAGTGATCAGCGTATGTACATGTCTTGAGCTTGTTTAGCACAACTTGTAGCATTTAAAATCCTTAGGATGAGCAAAACATTTTAAAAGGAACTGAACAGAAATATGTTAAAATGATAAACACTTTTGGTAAACAACTCCTTTGGAATTCTGTTTAAAGGAAAATTAGAAGAAACTTTGTATTACTTTCTCATATAATGCCTCTAATTGAACTCTTTTCATTTTGTTCCATCATATTTGAAAATTTGAGCCTACCTTTTATTTTATTTTATTTTTTCGAAGAATTATGATGCGATCATTGGTGATGTAACTATATTGGCCAATCGGTCAAAGTATGTGGAGTTTACTCAACCATATATAGAATCAAGCTTGACCATGGTAGTAACTGAGAAACTTGAAGCTGAGAAGGCATGGATGTTCTTAAAACCCTTCACCATAGGCATGTGGGTGGCAACCGGCGCCATCTTGACATACACCATTTTCGTAGTTTGGCTTTTGGAGCGCCAGAGTAACCCAGAATTTGAAGGGCCATGGAAACGTCAGCTTGGCACTGCATTTTGGTTCACTTGCTCTTCACTTTTCTTTGCCCAAAGTAAGTCCCTTACTATGGCAGCAAAATTCATTGAACTAATACAATTGGATTTAATTAATCTTTATCCTTTAAGCATAGTTGTAAATTGCCCTTGAGAGGTTGATTTGAACTGGGTGCATTTTGATTTTTGACAAAAATAACTTAACACATTTGTATCCATTTTTAAGCTAAGTTCATTTTTGAATACTTGAGTAGAGAATACTATATTTTTGCAAAAAAAAGAAATAATTGAAAATGATCAGATTATGAATTTCATTGAATTTATAAAATTAGAAATGTTACTAAATTTGATTGCCAATAGAGAATTTATGTTGGGACTAAATTTGGTTTTTTATTTTTTGTTTCTCCTCTCTACATATTTGCAAGTTCGCAAGCTTTGGGCTAAATTCTAGAAAAAAAAAAATTGAGCATTCTCAATTTCTTTAAACATTTCTGTTGTTGCAATTTAATTATTTTCAGAAATTGTCAACCCATTTTTTACTTCTAGTCATTCATTGTCCATGACTTTCAATTACTTTAATTTTTCATCAGTTAAAGTTAAAACTAACTTCTAAAAAAAATTCGAATTAAGCTTTGCAAAATACAACACATTAGGTATATTAATAAGACAAAATTTCAACCAGATAATCAGTTTGAAAAATTCAAGAGAATGGAACAAAAAAAAAAAAGGATAAAAAAGGTTCTCTTATTGCGCTCATATTATACAGGGAGAAGGTTCACAATAGCTACACTAGGGTTGTGGTGGTGGCATGGCTTTTCGTGGTGCTGGTTTTGAACTCAAGCTACACAGCCAACTTGTCCTCAATGTTGACAGTGAAGAGGCTGCAGCCAAATGTCACGAGCCTGGATTGGTTGAAAAGCCACGATGCAATGATCGGCTATGATAGCAATTCCTTCGTAAACAAATACTTGGCGGATGTGCTTGGTTTTAAGCCACACAACATCAAAAGCATTGACGTGCAAGAACAATATCTTGATGAATTTCGAAGTGGTAATATCTCCGCCGCTTTCCTTGAACTCCCTTTTGAAAGGGCCTTTCTTCAACGGCATTGCATCGGCTACACTGGCATAGTGCTCCCAGATAGGTTTGGAGGATTTGGATTTGTAAGTAGGATTTCTTTCAATTGATCATGCATGTTCGGGTTTATCTTATGTTTGGGTTTTGGAATGTCATTTCTCACATTTCTTGATATTTACGAAAATAGACCACACAAAATGTTGGGCACTTACAAAAATGCGAGTGTATTCACAACTTACTGTTGGTTTTAACACCAATTTTCATTTCTCCCATTTTTGAGACCAAAAATAATTGTCGGCAAATGAAATATTATTTTATTCTCAATAAAATATTTATTTTAAATTTGCAAAACCAAGTAAATTTTTTTTAAAAAAAAAATTAGGTTTTCTAAATTATGTTTGGTACTTCTTACAAATAACCAAACGAGTTATGCATTTGTCGACAAACGGAAAACTAGGAAGGATCCAACCCTATAAAGTTACCATTTTATGAAATATCAACAATGTTGATCCAATTTTGCGTTTGTTTACCTCGAGAGCTCCTTACACTTCCTCGTTCATGGTCTTAAAAGATATTGCACATTCACTAATTTCTATCTTGCTGGTGGTATTTTTCTTTATTTTATTTTACATGAGCATATTTTTGTGAGTGAGAATCTAGGATGAACTTTATTTTCCGCTAAACAATAAATACAAATATTTTTCTTGATGGCATCCACGCAGGTATTCCAAAAGGGCTCCCCAATAGCTGCTGATTTCTCAGAAGCCATTCTCAACTTATCGGAAACTGGGGTGCTCAAAAGACTTGAAGCCAAATGGTTTTCCCCCTCTAGTGAGTGTTTAACACACGAAGATTCCTCCCAAACCGGCAGCCTGAGTTGGAAAAGTTTCGGGGGCCTCTTCCTCTTCACTGGCTTTACTTCCACCTTCTGTTTTCTTTTATCCCTTGTTCATGGCTGGTTTGCACAACACAGCCATGAACCGCTTACAGGTGGTTCAACTGCAACCAACCGTAACTTACTGACCAACCTGGCACGGTTCTTCCTCAAGAAGAAGGTAAGGGCTCTAGAGGGGAACTCCGGGCAACAATTAGAGACCTCTATGCATCAGATAACCTGTAATAAGTAGGCACTAGTGAGCCAGTGGAATATATATCTATATAGTTCCTTGACCACTGTCTATATAGTGTGTAATCAAGAGGAATACGCCATGTTCTGTTGTAAGATATTTTATTTTTGTTAATTTGTATGTCATAGGTAATTACAAAAGCTAAAAATTAAAGAATTAAAAACAATTCACGTTGGCTGTGGTTGATTATTTTGTCTTTGATTTTCTATCACCCAAGATATAGATACATAGATATATAGAAAGTACTTTTGTCCATATGATGTTTAGGAATATCAAAGACATGTTTGTCGCTTGTTTGTTTCAAAATTACCACTTTTCAATTTGAAAACTATCCCCAGAAATAACCATACTTGATTAATAGGTACTTTGTTTAGGCCTCGAATTTATGTTTCTTTTAACTTCAACCTTTTTGAAATCATCTCTATAACTCAACTTCATTCTTTTAAAATTCATCATGCATGATTTAAATACAAGTGTACTTTAAAAAATGTAGTATAATTATAAAACCTTTATATAACAGCTTTTACTAAGAAGTTTCAGTCAAATCTATATATAGAATGTGATTTAAAATTAAGAATAAAATTTAAATACGATGGATTAGTTTTAACTTTGTATTTGCTATTACACCACATAGGGAAAGTTTAGTATGATTAACCACTAAAATCATAGTGTAGTTAAAATATATAGCATTAAAATTTAATGATTCAGTCATTCCATGCATCCATGTTATTTATTACCATAAACTTTAATGATTACTTTTTATCCAAAAAAATTTAATTTATTTGAGGATATAAAATTTTTGCCAAAATGAATTCTTAAAATGATGCATTTTGTTCCTACTTTGGCAGCACTCATCTCTAAAATCTCAATGGTTACTTAAACAAGACCTCAATTTTAGATAACTTTATTATTATAATGTTTAAGCATTCAAAAATTCAAAGTTTAAAATTTTTAGGGTCAAGTTTCTAATTTGTCATTTTAATATTCACTACCCCTATCTTTTTTAGGCTTTTATCACTAAAAATGAATGTATATGATCAAAATGTAGTTGTTTGACAACTCAAAGTAGCAAAATGTGACCTCACTTCATGCATGTGACTGATTTCTGGCTAGAGTTTTAGACGATAGTGACAATGGCAATAGATGGATATTTTTTGGTCTTTTTCCATATGAATAGTAGGGGTGTTTTAGGCAATAATATAAAATTTAAATCACTATTTAACTGAAATAAATCTATTAAACCCTTCTCTCAAGATAAGCTATCAAGCTCATGTGAGATAAATATCCTTATTCTTCTCATTCTCCAATTTGTGTGTCGCATAAATTGAATGTAGGATAAAATAGATTAAATTTATATTATCTTATCTTATTATATAAATTGAATAAGTTGTTAATGTGTAAAACCCTAACTTTCTAAGGAAAAGGAAGGAAAATTAATAGATAAAAATAGAGTTAAATATCATCATACTTTTTATTTTTTTGATTAAAAAAAGAGATACAGGAAATAAAAATTCATTGATAATTTGAAATCTTTATAGGTCGAAGCAGTAATTATGTGAAAGCCTAATAGTTAATATATTCTCACGTGAAACTAATCATCCAATTCCTCTAATCTAATCCCCATTTTACCAATCATGTCCCAATAGTCAAAGCAAATAATTTATCTCTTTCAATATCTTGTGTGTGTGTGTGTGTGTGTGTGTTGGTTGGATAATAGTTTCCTTGAAGGCAAGTTGAAGGAAGCTACCACGAAAAGGGTGATAGTTTCTACCTTCCGGTGGAGCACAGACGTTGGACGTCAATTTAATAAGAGATATTTTTCATGATTCTTAACAAATTTTCTTACTTGATTTGAACTCACATGGAACAATAATAGACTGGTCACTTCTAATTATAATGGTTGGTTATATGGAAAAAACTATTTTTTAGTAATTTTTCAAATTTATAAAACTTTTAAGGTATGAAAATTTTTGTTTTTATTCCATATTCAAGTCAGCTCTATTATCATAATTATTTAACTATGATTTATAATAAAAGTATACTTAATTGTTTTAAATTTATGTAAAATAAACAATGTATTCCTATCATATTATCTTATGTCACACTTTCTTTAGTAAATACAAATCATATTTATATTTCACCAATGATTTTGATGCAAATTTTCATTTTTTTAGTTTTAAAAATCTAAATGTTTAGAGCAAAAGTTTTGATGTGTTAGATATATAATATTTGTATAATTCATTAAGAAATGCAAAGAATTTAACTCCTACTCATCTCACTTTCGTTGCGCCTTTCATGTATTACTGTGCATGTATTGACTTTTAAAAAGCTGACATATGTCTTTACGGGGGAAGTGACATCTAAAAGAAAATTTAAAACTCTAAATGTGGTTGTGTTTAATATGTGATCGTGTCAATCGGGTAATTGGTTGTTATATTACTCCGTTTACTATTCTAATAAGAGATATTTTTGATTCAGGGAAACATGATTATTGTTTAATTTTTATTTTTCTGAATGAATAAGATGTAACTAAACAGTAAATATATCTAATCAGTAATTTTATTTAGGTTTTCTCTTAAAGTAGATTGAAGCCCTTTCAATTAGACGACGCTCTCTTCAATTCTTTGGCTTACAAATTTCTGTTGGTATTTGTCACCATTTAAGTGCTGGATTCGTAATCAATACTAATGTTAAAATAGAATTTAACCTAACAAATTTAAATATCATATAATATTTTTATAATGATTCGAGAACTACTGGTTCTAACAACTTGTTGAGTCTGAATCATTAGTTCAAAATGTTTAAATCCCAATTATTCAGTAGTGATTTCTAATATCTTATATATCATATCATTTTACTCTTAAAAATCGATGTGAAACGGGATATCACAATTTCTTCCACTTAAACATTTGATATTCTCGTCAAGTCAAAAATCTGTGTTTGTGTCCAAATAGAATATATTGAAAGATCGTTTTACTTTGATATTATTTTGTCACAACTTAGTGCTAGATCCATGACCAGTGCTATAAGGTTAGAATGGAATCTCACTTAACAAACCTAACTGTCATATAGTATTTCTATAATAACCTCAGAATTATTGACCCTAACAATTTGTTGAACTTGAATCATTTGTCTAAAATACTTAAACTTACGTTATTCAATAATCTCTACTCTCTTATATAATCTATTATATTACTTTTAGAAATTGATGTGAAATAAAATATTACAGTGTTGCTCAGCATACAAATTTTGGACAACCAAGGTCATGTATGCTGAGAAATTTAGAAAATAAAATAACTTTTCAAGCAAATTTGACTATGTTGATAGGTTTTTCATAATGACAGGGTGGATTTGCTTTGCTTATGGTTTTCATATCATTTTTTGCTTACTCGGTATTGTGATTCCATGTTTTGATCTTCACAGAGAACATTAAAAGATATCATAATAGCACAGACATTACATCTTGACAAGTCCCCAATACTCTTGAATGGAATATTGAACTAAAGAATTTAAATGGCGTTTTGGGAAAGCACAAGAACTACTACTACAATTATACGTGAAAATATTGTTTGAGAAGCACATTTAATTATTTATGATAGATTATTCTTAGTTTTTATCTATATTTATTGGTGAGTTTAAAAGCTAAATACTATTATATGACGTATGTCTAACTTAAACACTCCAAGTTATATAACATTATTATTAGATAAAAAACAATGTAAATATTGTTTTCAAAATTATATTTGAAAAACTACACATGATTAAAAGTAAAGCAACTCTATAAGTAATGAATTAATTATTTAGTTGTTTAAAATTACGATTATGACATGATTATAAATTTATTCATTTATGTTTTGTTTAACAACGTGATATATAATTAGTCATTATGTAAATCAAATGTAATTACAGAAGTATTTTGTTTTAAAATATAATTGTTGAGAATGCTAACATTTAATGCAGCAAAAGAATTTACTCAAGTGGACCAATTGACAGAAATTATTTGCATGGAAGAATGGCAAGACATGGTGTTGGTGGCCAAGATCAGCTAGGAGGCTCAGGTCCCTGTCCTTTCACTTGCAGCATCTGCCGTTGCACCACCACTTGCACCATTACAACATTCTTTTTTGGTGCAAATGGTTGACAACTGCACTAAACAAATGAGATGCATTGTAGCCATTACTTGCTTCTTCCAGTGGAAGCGAGTCATTGCAATTTATGAATCTGAAAAATTTGGCAGTGACTTTGGGATGTTGGCTATACTTTCTGAACACCTTCAAAGCACACATTCAGCTAAGATTGAAGATCGTGTGATTATTCCATCGTTCTCCTCTCCATGATCCAAAAAGATATGTTCATGATGAACTGGCAAAGTTAATGACGGTAGACTCGAGAGTTTCATCATTCTTTAGTCATCTTTGTCGCTAGCTATACTTCTACTAAAAGAGACAAAGCAGGTGGGACTCATGTTAAAAATTTTGCATGGATATAGTTACACACAACATCACCAGTCTACTTGATTCTCATGATACTCCAATGGTTTCTTCCATGAAAGGAGTTTTAGGGTTCAAGACCTTTTTCTCTGATAATGAAAGGTCTTACTCAAGCTTCAAGCAATAGTTCAAACAGACGTTTCACTCTAATTTTCTAGAAAAATATGATTCTAATCCGGGAATCCATGCACTAAAAGCTTTTGATAGCATTACTGCCATCTCAAATCCTTGGAGAAATTGAGTGTAAGAGGTAATGCTAGATCCTCATCCATGCTTCTCATTGAGATTATATCAAGTAATTTCACCGACTTAAGTGGCATTATTAGCTTCAAGGGAGGAGAGCTAGAGCATTCTTCTCCATTTACCATTGTAAATGTTGTGGGAAAGAAAAGCCATACAAAAGTGGCTTTTGGTCATTAAAAGTTGGCTTCTCAAATACCCTCATTGTAGGAAAAAGAGGAGAGACAAATAGCAGCACTATTGGGGACAATGTTGCCAGCATGGCAAGTC